ATACAGTGTATAACCATGGCAAGAAATATGCATATGGTTGCCTTTAAAAAACTTGCAATTAGATGACTTAGATTAGATTGGATTAGATGACTGCAGCAAGTAAAGAAAGTTAATCCAATCAAAGTTCCAGGACTAGGTGGTATCGACCCATGAGTACTTAAGGAGCTAAGTGACCTCACTTGGTTCAAAGGTATTTGTGAGGGGGGCACTACGTTAAAGAAGACTATCTCAGTCCTATATCAACACCTACTGATAGGGGATAAACACACAAAAATGACTTTCAAGAGACGGTGGGAGGGAATGTTGGGCGAAACGTTCACGGATACACAGTGGCACAAGGTCCTACTCTTGAATCATAAGAGCGCCATCAGCTCCAGATACCAAGAAACCAACTACAAGCTTTTGTTGTCTTGGTACCGTACTCCTATCCTCCTACATAGGATAATCCCAGATGTGACTCCCCTCTGCTGGAGATGTGGCCTGGGCGAAGGGACAATTGAACATATCTGATGAAGCGGCACCAAAATCACCCCATTCTGGGAAATGGCGTGGGACACCATGTCAGACATCTTCGGTGAACCACAACAACTTCCTGCTGCACTAGCCTTGTTACATCTCACTTTAACACCCATCTCGACATGCAAGAAATCCATCACTAGACACCTCCTCAACCCTGCAGAGTCACTGATAACAGCCTTATGGTAACAAAGAGTAGTCCCCAGCAGGGAACAAGTGGAAGAGATCCAAGCTGCAGAAGCTATTCAGGCAGCCTTGCTGAGCTCGAGCGAAAAACAAGAGGAACGGTGGCGACCATGGTTTTTATATATGGAGGACAGGATAGGGACCGGCGGGGATAACACTGCTGCCAGACTACAGATGGGTGACTTAGCTTCTCGTCCCTTTCTACCTAAACTTGCAACTTTTACACCACCCTACATCTTCTTATCGCCCTTACTCTTTTTCCTGTGTCCACTCTCACATCTCTTCTCTTTTTCTCCTTGGCTTATCTTTAACGTCTTCATCCTTATCCTTCTCTGATAGCGATACCACCATGCAATGGAACTAGAAGTAGATATAGGCACCCCTGGATCATATGCATGCATGCGGTGAGAGATGTGGCTACATTACAGGTGCATTCCAACCCACTGGCAAGGAATCCTTACTATCCATAAGGATCCATGGCCTCAAGCACCCACTATAGTGGGTTGGGTACTTAATAGCGTTATAGACGCCGAACCCATTGATCCTAAATTGAGTTGGGGTGATTTAAGATATACATGAATCCTAAGATGAGCTGATCAAACAGGGGAAAACGGTCCTCAAAATGTTCTAACTTACAGCTAGTGATGTCGCGAACCCGAAATTTTCGGTTCGCGAACGGCGAACGCGAACTTCCGCAAATGTTCGCGAACCGGCGAACCGCCCGAAACGCCATTGACTTCAATGGGGAGGCGAATTTTAAAACACACAGGGACTCTTTCTGGCCACAATAGGGATGGAAAAGTTGTTTCAAGGGGACTAACACCTGGACTGTGGCATGCCGGAGGGGGATCCATGGCAAAACTCCCATGGAAAATTACACAGTTGATACAGAGTCTGGTTTTAATCCATAAAGGGCAGAAATCACCTAGCATTCCTAAATCACAATCAATATGGATTGACACCTGACATATGACATATTGACACCTTGACATATGGATTGACACCTGTCCTCAGAGCCCCTGATACACACTGACACAGAGCAGAATAGAGACTGTTCCTCCTACATAGGGTTACTTAGCAGATATGGATTGACACCTGTCCTCAGAGCCCCTGATACACACTGACACAGAGCAGAATAGGGAATGTTACCCCAACATAGGGTCACTTGGCAGATATGGATTGACACCTGTCCTCAGAGCCCCTGATACACACTGACACAGAGCAGAATAGGGAATGTTACCCCAACATAGGGTCACTTGGCAGATATGGATTGACACCTGTCCTCAGAGCCCCTGACACACACTGACACAGAGCAGAATAGGGAATGTTACCCCAACATAGGGTCACTTGGCAGATATGGATTGACACCTGTCCTAAAGTTCCCTGATACACACTGACACAGAGCAGAATAGGGACTGGTCCCCCTACATCGGGTCACTTGGCAGATATGGATTGACACCTTGTTACAAACTGCTATTTGTAACGGGCCCTTTAAATGGCAAATTGCCCTGCTTCCCTGGGTTGTGGAGAAGCCTACTTGCCAGCCTCCTCCCACATGACTATGGCCCCTGGGAGATTGTGAAAATGTATGCACTTTTATTTGGTGTGTATGGCCCTTTAAGACTGTCGGTGGGCATATTGGGGCTTATGGACTCTTTATGTGACTGGTGCTGGCCCTTTAAACACCTTTTTTGGGACATCAGGAAGATTGGGACACTGCTCCTTTAAGGCCGTGTCCCCAGACTTGTTGGGGACACGGCCCCTTTAAGACGGTGTCCCCTGTGTTCCCAGACCAGGTGCAAACCCTTTGTGCCTGCCTTGCTATTTCCCACTTGGTTCAGTAAATGGGAAATTATTTCAGCTGCAGAGACTAAGTCCCATTCAGCGATGGACTAGTCTTTTTCAGCCTGAAATAGATCACCTCACAGCCCAAATCTATGGAACTGTTTTGGGCAGGAAAATGTGCTTGCCGTCGGTCATAAAGGGACCTCCAGCCAACTTTTTAACCCCTGGATGGATTTGGCTGATTTTTGGTTATGTTTATGTTTTAAGTGTGCTGATTCCAAATATGTAATTATGAAGATGGGATGTGTAGTTTTAAAGTTACAGGGTATGGCTAAAAACCGTATTTTTACTGCCTGTGTTTAATTATGTTAATCTCTTCCCAAACGTCATTTCGCTCAAAGTGGAGAGAATGTTAAAAAAAAATATTTTTGTTCTGAGTGTGAGAAATGCTTTTCAGCCGCTTCTAATCTTAAGCATCATTTGAGGAGCCATACAGGAGAGAAACCTTATTTGTGGTGTTTTTAGTATTGTTCTGATCAGTTTAATACCTTCCGCGTCTCCTATCAGTGGACGTGTATATGGCAGCCATTTTAGGAACCGCATACCTGGGACCCGAGCAAGGTCACCTCGTTCAACAGGC